TCAGTAATTAGCTTACTTATGCGCGTTAGCTTAATAGTCTCGGACGTAGATTTGGGTTTGCCACTTGAGCTTGCCTCCTCTTCTGGTTCCATTATAAGTTCCATCTGAGATTTGTCCTTGTCCCCTATAATTGGGGACTCCCTTATAACTGGGAACTTTTCTTTCTGAGTTTCGTCAGAAAAATTGGTTGGGTCGTCTGGAGACGTGTCCCTTCTCTCACTTCCTGGCTTCGTTAATGCAAGATTTGAAGCTGAGACAATAGTTGGCCCTCGGGCTCTCTCAGTGGGAGTAGTTTCCTTAATCGGAGTGGCTACATCCTTATCTGAAGCATTGTCCTGTTGACTATTATTGTCGGATGCAAGTTCTTCGGCTACTGTGCGGTTAAACGCATCGGCAGCGGCGGCGGTTGCTTCTGTGACAGCAGTATGCGACAGCGCTAGCAGCGTCTCTCTCCATCTTCTTCTTTTCAGCTCTACGTTTCTTAGAAGAAGTATTGTCTTTCTTGGTCACTTAACTACTAGCTTGTCTCTAAAGGACTAGCTTGGACAAGAAATGGTTTGTGGTAGTTAATCTACCTTTACGCCTATGTAGTCTTAGTAATTAATACCTTTGCTAACGTTAAAATATGTAAAATTTGGTCTATTAAGGCGATATTAAACCTTAGAGTAAATAAACGCGTAGGTAAATTCTAAGTATCGTAAAAATATCATGAGACTTTTAGTAAAGTTAGGTATGCCTCGTGAAAACAGCAATATTCTGAGGGATTGCGAGGCTGAGACATCGCCTATATATAAGCCTCTCAGTACTGTTTCCACCGAAGGGATTTTATTTAGTGTTAGGGATTTTATTTAGTGTTTCGTTGTCGCTACACACCAAGCTGCCTTCCACGGGGCGCAACTACGGTGTGGCGAGTGGAGGAGTTCACGGATGAGTATCTGGCACCTTGCTGTGCGATACATTTGACCCCAGGGAGGCCGGAGCTGCCTGATGAAGCCCACTCGATTTTTCGCCGATTGATTGAAAAAGAGGGTGAGAAGGAGGTATTTGGTGATACTGGAATGGCGCCGCCTCATGAGGCCTTCATTGAGCGTGAGGGCGTTACTGAGTTGTTTGGGGCGACAAGCGCGTCTCGACACTTGTCAGCAGATGATGGTGGGCGGTCTGGGGCGCAGGGTAGCACAGCAAATGCTGGGGATGGGTCAGATGGAGCTAAGTCGCCTATTAAAAATGCTTTGGTAGACCGCTGTACCTTGGTGGTAGGTGGCATGACTGTGGTCAGCACGTTTGGGTTTATTCACATAATTGGTTTGTGCATTCGCATTGTGTGGGCGTGTAGTAATTTGCAAGGGTAAGCATATAGCAATGTTTCATTGTAACAGCATGCATAGAGTGGCTGCCGACTGGCAGTGGTGGTGGGTGTCTAGGTGTGATAGCACTCCTGGGATGCGCTGTTGCGCTTGTGGTAGTGTGATAGCTTAGATCAACATTATATGACATTAGGGCCTAGTTGCCTATTATAACTGCTTCAGACTCGTCTGTGTACAAGCAAGACGAGTCATGATGAGCAGTTGGGGCGTGTAAGGCGCTTGGCCCTATGATACCAAACTGTTATGTGGGTGCACTTTACCGGTGCGGGTGAGTGCACTTTACCGGTGCGGGTGAGTGCACTTAAACAATAATGATGACAACAATCACACACATGTTGAGAACAATGTGAGACTAGATAGGGATAATACTATTTATTTCAAAAATGGCAAGTATGTATGATACAATGTATGAACATATGGTATGGCTCTCATAGTCGCTGTAGTAGTTCAGGAAAGATTGATGGGAAGAAGTGGGCAGTAAATTCCCGTTTGAAGCTTGGGCCAAGTGAGTCGACAATGGGAGATATGTGCTGAGTCAATTCGGGCCGGTGTTGACAAAGCACTGTTACTATCGAATGTTCCATATATTCGCTTGCTGACCTACTAAGTAGAGTAACCGCCAGGGGTCCAGGGCAGTGAGGGCACGCTGGGAGAATTGAGAATTCAGAATAGTCGTATTTACATAGCTTCCGAACCAAATATGCTACAGACATCGCTCCAATGATGGCTGTGATATTCCTTTCATTACCTAGCTATTCCTGTGAAACCATTGGAAGATATAAGGAAACCAGAGTACAACATCGAAAAGACGAACGGTTTTTGGGTTCTCCATGTTTTGATCCTACTCTAGAGAGAAATATTTGGTAGAATGTATTCTTTTGTTTTCAAGTTAAAAAAAAAAAGAATATCGAAAAAATAAATACCGCAAGGACTAGGGCACGAGGTTTTTTATTTGGGCAGTCAGGCAATGGGCACCGGACAGTTTTTGGAGGAGTAGTAAAAGAACCCTGGGAACTGAGATTAATGATTCCATCCAATAGATTGGACTACGGTCAGTAGTCGTCGATTGTAAAAAATCATTTCATTGACAAGAGATAAACTATACTTTTGAGTCTTGACTAAGCACGATATCTAATCCAGTATTAATTTCAAAAATAGGTCTATTTTTTTTTTGCATCCATACAATTTGTCAAAATACAACGTTTTAAAATGTAAATAAATACAGCTTGAAAACATTGGCTATTGCCTATTGGGCATTAGGTAACTGGGATTTTATAATAGTATTACACAGCTGTCTATATATGTAAATTATTGATCAATTTTTACTGATAAAATCAAATTCCAAACTATTTTCGACCTTTTTTTCAAATGGCATAGTTTTTTCTTTGATTTTGAATGCATTTTTTTATTAGATAATTATGGATGTACATATGTTGTGGTAACTTGTGTATATTCAATTTTTTCAAATGAAAAACAAATATATATATTTTATATATTACTATATCTACATAGTCTACAGTACTAAATACACTCAGTACTGTGCAAACACAAAACTCTACAATAACTCAAGTAAAATACTCATAACTCAGCTGAATAAATTCTACAGTTAAATAAACATTAAACCCCCCCAGCTAATTCGAAAAAGAAGAAAGAGGGTATTTCTAAATTAAAAAAACTGCAGTAGTGCAGAGGCCAGAGTGCAGACGCCAGACTGCAGCCTGTCTGGGCGCGCTGGGCGGTGGGCCTTTGGTCCTCTGAGTCTCTGGGCCTATGGGCCTCTGGGCCTCTGGGCCTCTGGGCCTCTGGGCCCCGGCCCCGCTCGAGGAAGTGGCTGTGACTGTGAGTGTGGGACTGTGGGTCTGTGGGACTGTGGGACTGTGGGACTGTGGGACTGTGGGACTGTGGGACTGTGGGACTGTGGGACTGTGGGACTGTGGGACAATCTGGGTGACTGGGTTTCTCATTTCTGGCCCTCTGCCGGTCTGTCCTCTGTGGAGTCTGCGACCTGCGCCCTGCACCCTGCGGCCTTTCATCTTTGGCTCTGTCCTTTGCTTTGTTTTGCAAAAAATAAAAACATTTTTTGTGGGTCGCTTTGTGGAGTATTTTGTTTAAAACAATACTTAGATATTTTGTTTTGTTTGTTTTTGTAAAAGAAATTAATAAATGCACAAATATGTTATTGGCAAGTTCTGGGCTTTTTGTTGGAAAAAAAGAAAAGCTGGAGTCTGGGGCCCTGTGCCCTGGGGCTGGGGCTGGGGACTGGGGGCCAGAGAGGTTATTTTTTTTGTTAAGAAAATAGTGCACGTAGCTGCTAAGCTCATTATTTACGTTTATATGTGTATGCTGAATAAAATTGAACTTTAATGTCTATTTTCAAGTTCTACATGTATGCTAAAAAACGGTTATGTAGCTCAAAAATGCCCAACGAAATTTCAAAATCTGCACCTAAAATCCAAGAAATGGGCTATATTGAGAGTGTCGACCAATCATAAGCTCGCCATGGTTTTGATGAAGCATATCGCAATTCCCAACCGACGGCCTGTTTTGTCATATTTGGCGCGCTCAACAGCCTCAACTGGGGATAAATCTGCGGACCTAGAAGTTACACCCCATCTGAAATCCATAGGACCATGCATGTATTAAGAATTGAACTTTAACGTATGTAATAAAAGTTTCAACGGTTAACGCATTGAGCCTAGTGTAGCTGTTTTATAGACTTTGTTAATATTGTTAAAAAAAAGAAAAAAAATGCTGTTTGTTTTCAATTGTATTTTTATAAAAGAAATAAAAGAAAAGAACATGGTTGTATGTAAATACACTGTACTACAGTGTATTTATTTATTACAAATCTTATACACAAAACATGTTTTTGTTTTTGTTTTTGTTTGTTTTATATTATTTATAAAAAAAATTTATTGGATATATTTCTTCTGAAGTTAGAACACTATTAAATAAATACATATGTTTTTTAAAAATCAAACGCATTTTCCTACTTAAAAAGGTAAATAAACACTCTACACTTCTACAGTTTACAAAGTCAAATAAATAAATACATACATAGCCTGTTTAAAATTATAAAATGTAAAATTGGTTTTGATAAAAAAAAACATACAGCTCAGTTTACACTATACAGTATGTACTATATTGTTTTGTTGAAAAAAATACACAAATCAGGTAATCAACACTCGAACCTCGGTCTGAAGTCTGAACTCTGACGCCTGACGGTCTCAGAGACTCAGACTCTCAGACACAGGCAAGTGAGGCCAGTCAGGCCACACAGAGTAAGAAAACTAGAAAAGAGCATATACAAGCTTATAGTAAATTCCTTTGAATGCAGAGTACTCATTATGTACTCAATACTGACTACCTCTGAGCAATAACGAATAAAGAAAATATATAAATATGTAAGATACAAGATTTGTCAAGTTATAAATTTTTAAAATGTTTAAAGAAAAGAAAAAGAAAGCAAATACATTCCGTATTACGGTGCCTCAGGCCAGCCCTCAGGCCGCTCGACCAACTATGAAGACCTGAATTTAAAAAAAATACTCCCCACTACTTTCCGAAAGGGTGACAGAAGTTCTATAGCTGCTAAATACATCCATTGAAACTGATCACTTCTCATGCCAAGTACTACACTGCAACATACATTATCATATTTATCATATTGTACAATATCTACTATAAGGTAGATTTAGGCTTTACTAGCTGTTAATAGTGTGCGTACGTTCGTTTGGTATTCGAAACTGTACATTGTTTAATAACGGTTCATTATTGAATTGCATTGTATTTAACTTTAAAGTAAAGTATGATTGTGCCGAGTCCGCAGCGGCTTTTATTATGTGCGCTGATACTAGTGCGAAACCTACCAAACCAAGTAGAAGCCTCGGTGGGCTATGATCAGTGGGCAGAGAGGCAAAATCAACTGAACAGAAAAGATAACACTATCATCGTACATCTGAATAAAGAAGAAGGAAGAAGGAGGAGGCGGCAGGGGGACAACGGATTTGTGGACGAATTGGCTGAAAAGGTAGAAACGGTTGTTGAGCAAGTTTTATTAGTATCACCTCCCATTAGCGAAGGTGAAAACAACAATGACACAGACCTCGAGGAAAAGCCTAAGAAGCGAGTTTCGGAGGAGAAACAACAAATCACAGAAACGATTGTTGTAACTATAGAGAACGGTACGATTGCAGATTCCGCTGCGTCATGTGCAGAGATTATGAAGCTCGATGAGGTGGACGGTTGCGATATAGATATACAATTTAATGTGGCTCGTCAAAACGTTGACGAGGAAGAAATATTGAGAGTAGCTAAGAGTTGGGGACAAGATCGCCTTGATCAAGCAAACCCTGTGAGCAATGAGTGGTATAACTTAGGGAATATAGGATTGCACGGTGATGGCGAAGGCGTTACGATATATATACTAGATACGGGAATTCGAGATACACACAGCGAGTTTCTTGCGGCTGATGGAACAAGTCGCGCTCGCAAAGGGTTTTCTGCAGGAACGTACACTGATATAGACAGTCACGGTCACGGATCGCACTGCTCAGGTTTGTGATGTTGACGACTTTTATGCGTTTATTTTGCTACTTCGTTTTTGAATACCATCTCTAAACGGGATTCATTGTACGATAATGTGTGCACGCTGATACCCTGCGAGTGCTATCAAATGTTGGCTGGTCAAATAGCTAGTATATTGCATTAGGTACTGATCGCATTTATTTCCGTATCTTGACAGGCATCTCTGTGGGCAAGACCGTTGGAGTTGCAACGGCGGCCAAAGTGGTGGGTGTGAAAGTACTCGGAGACACTGGAGGTGGTTCATTGGGAGACATCGTCGCAGGCATCAATTGGGTACTCGAAGATTGTGTTGGTAATTGTGTCATATCCATGTCGCTAACCGTAGGCCCAATCCCAGACTGGTATCCGCAGACGGCTTTGGAGAAGGCTATCTCTCTTGCAAGGGATATGGGTAAGCACTTGAAGTTTTGAATTGATCGTATTTGTCTGTAACATCGCATTACACAGATTGATATAGCGTGTTGTCGTTTGTACAAGTTATCCTCTACTGCGGGCATTGAACCTTCAAATTAACACTCCAACCACCATATAAAATGATGGCCTTGTCGAAACAATGATATTAATCCGGCAATATAACTGGTTTAATCAACGATAAAATCAACAAATTGCAGGAATCCCGTCCGTTGTTGCGGCTGGTAATAAAAACCAGGATGCGCATTTATATATCCCTGCCCGTGAGCCCACTGCAATCACAGTGGGTGCCAGCGATTGGTTAGACAAACGTGCATGGTTTTCAAATTGGGGTAAGATCGACATGTGGGCCCCGGGAAATAATATTGTCTCCGCAGATGAGGACAGTGATACTCAACTGGTAGTTATGTCAGGCACGAGTCAGGCTACGCCCTACGTAGCCGGAGTCATCGCTGTTTACATGAGTCAGAAAGATTTCCAGCTGACTGTGGACGAGATAATGGACGCTATGAACGGTGTTGGAATTTTAAATATTCCATCAGAGGGAGACATGTTCTTACAGGGCGTTTTCGACTCTGGAAAAAATTATAGTGCACCAGAGCCCTCACCAAGCGCAAGTCCGTCAGTCACTGCGTCACCTACAATGTCGATGCTGCCACCGTCAGCTTCGCCGTCGGTAAGCGAATTTGTTGTTGTAATTCATCAGAATGTTGACCGTTGAAATTGCGAAATTACGATCGATTGTTTTGTGTATTGCGCATTCTAAGCGTTCTCTCTAATCATGTACAATACAAAAAAATAATTGGCTGACAAATACAGTTTGCATTTGTTCATCTACGTAGGTTACCGCTTCAGCTACCCCGAGTGCCTCAGTGACGGCGAGTGCGAGTCCATCGATGAGTACATATCCTTCGACGAGTGCAAGTCCTTCATTCAGCGCGAGTCCCTCATTGAGCGCGAGTCCCTCGCTGAGCACTAGTCCCTCAATGAGCATGAGTCCAACTGCGTCACCATTATCAACTCCTGATGATCCTTGCGTTTTATCCCCATGTCTCAATGGCGGTGTTTGCGATACCACAGGTGTTGGGTTATACAAATGTAGATGCGTTGGTGGTTTTGTCGGTGTCGACTGTGACACGGAGTTCGTGCCTGACGAGTGTACCGTGCCATCTTCTGCCATTATTTGCTCAGAGGCTATCTTTGACGCTACATCATACAGCGAGAACCGATTGATCCAGTCAGATGGTCAAGCTGTGAACCCTTATTTCGGTGGCGATGGTGGACGTTTGCGATTCTATATTTTTGGACCTTTGGGTTCATTCCTTCAAGTATTACAGGCAGATGGGCCAAATGGTACATGGAGCGTTGCTGGTCGAAGTGCTAGAGTGAGTTCTGTATTCTCAAACAGCGTGTTGCAGCTAGACATGAATGACCTTCCTGCAGGTATATATGAGGCAGTACTGAAGGCGGGATCGCTTTCGGAGCCAACCCCTGTGCGAGTACTCGTAGTACAGTTTACGAACAACGCTCAATGGGGATCACTAATCGATTCTGATGAGCTGCAGTCGGGTATTTGTACAACCACTTGCAATAATGTCGAGGGTTCTGCTGAGTCTGTCCAGGATGCAGCATATGGTGAAGGGTATCAACAATCTATAGACGGGACTTGGGTGTTACCTGCAGGAGTCGTTGGCACAATTCGGGCAAATTTTGCTGCTCCAAAATTTAGTCGCATGCAGATGATGGTGAAGAATGCTGATGGGGGATGGAATTTATTCAGAAAAAGTAAATGGACAATGAATGACGGCGATACAGTAGAAATGAAAGCATACGAAATTCCTGAAGGAGAATACAAGTTCGAGGTCAAAATGTTGAATCCCGGACCTTACCAACTGGTGTACCATCAGGAGAATTTCGAGGTGACCCCGGAAGGCAAATACTTGTCTTCCGAGCCTATCACCCCCATTGTAACAAATGTATCATCGGCTGAACCCACAGCACGTTTCTTACTCAAAGTGTTAGAAGTTGATTCGTATTCAGTAGCGTGTGTGTACTCCTCCCCGGCTTTGTCTGAGACAACCCTCTGCTATGAAATGGGTGACGAGGTTCCGGTGATGGAGTGGAATAATGTCAACGGTCGAGATGATCTGTTACAAATTCTTGTGGTGGGCGAGTCACAACCAGGGTTTATCAAGCATGCCATGTTTGATGAAGAAGGACTACTCATTGGCCCTGAAGTGTCGAGTGCAGGCGCGGAGAACAATAATGATGGGAGCACTTTTGATGCACGTCCTGCCGGTTTCCTACCTGCGACAAGTTTACCGGACGATGCATGAACGTACTGTAATTTAAATTATTACGGGGAACGTCAGGTGCTACATAGCTGTTCGAAGCGAATGACCAGTATTAAACTAAGCCAGCTGCATGGGCACGATTTTGCGTCCATAAAGACGAGCAACTGGAGATTATCGCTTCCTGAATGCTCAGAAGCGGACCAGAATTCACCAGCGCTGGCGGCGTGATTTGCGTTTTCGGTTGAATATTTTACACAAAATTCTGGTCTGATTTTAAAACGACTTGATATCAATGCCGCTTTTCGACCGTGAATAGCCTGGACAGGTACTATCACGTTGTCAGAAAGCCTTGCTCTGGTGCCGCTGTGGGAGTCACGACGATCACAGGAATCGGACGAGCGAACGGGGGTCATAAGCTGAAATGTATTGCTTATGTCGTTGCGTCGGAGACCTTCCTGAAGGGTTTACCTACAACCTTTTAGTCACTAATCCGCGACGCTTCCGATAACAAGATATACCAATATATACGAGTCAATCTCACATCACGTAATGTAGAGGTGACGAGGGTGGTTCATATCTGCCCTTTGATTGGTGGTTTCTGATTCGAGCCATGTAAGAAACCAAATGAACTCGAACATGCTTTGAAGCGAACAAGGCGAAACAAATTAAAATCTAAGCATTATCCTAAAAAATTATAACACTTGAATTGAATCATAGTTCGAAACTATCACTACTCCTGCAAATATCTTGTTCCCAAATATACTGAAGCTTACTACACAACCATAGTTTTACACCTATATACAGACATATTTGGGGTATATGTTGGTTCAGTCTGATTGTCACATTTATTATTTTTACTTAATTATCATATAGCCGTTCAAATATATTTTAAAGCTTAATCACATATATTACTCATCGAGTGATATACCATACGTAAATATGAATATTCACAAATGTAGCAAATGCTTGTCAACAGTATCTGTAACGAGCCTGGTGCGGATAATTGTGTTCTGGGTTGATACCCGCCAACAATAAAAATGTAGAAAAGAACACTCCCAGTATAAAAGTAAAAAAAACCTACTTCAGTCGAACAAGTCAAGAAATGTGCATCTACATCTTTAATGTGTACCAAATGGAGCGGTACGTCTAACTAGTTGCAACCATACATTTTCGAATTGTCGTTTTTATGCGCTCGGGTTCGTCCGTCGGTGGACTCATGGTTCTCGTTTTCGCTGCGCATCGACTGATATAATTTTGTACTTCACATCTTGGTCTGTACCATTTCAATCGGACGCACCGAGAGTTCGGATCACCGGAAAGGAGCTACATCCACTCAGCGAACAATATGACTATATCAATCAGTACTGATGCAGCTTAGGCCACTTGACGTGTGAACGCAACATTCCGTTTCGCAGAAGTCAAAGTGGGTGGTACCCCAAATAGATACGTTCGCGGTTTAATAAGCCCACACGGTCGATACAGACGATGATACACTTGGCCCTCACATGGACAGCCTACACGTGGTGTCTTCATAGTCGAGAAGGGTTTGCACTCTTTATATCTACATATTCACTGGTGAAGTTCGCAATTACCCAAAAACTCACGTTCTGACTCTTGATTATACAGATGTGAGTCGTGTGCTGTATACAGCACTGTCACTAGAGCTGCGTTGCTGTTGTCGTACCATTCTGAGGTTTCATCCATACAGCATATGCAAAGCCGATATTGTCAATACTGATCGTAATAGGACATTATGAAGTATATACGCACTACATGAGTATAACCACTCTAGCCAACTTCGATCGCGCTCTCACATGCTAATACTGATTGGGATTGGCGGGATCCGAGGGCGGTGGCGCAAGCCCCATGGATCCAATAGACAGATTGTGCTGAAGTTGCTGAGCTTGGCTATTCGTTTGCAACGCATGTTGTTGTGCGAGTATGTTGGCCTGAGCTTGTTGCTGCTGCTGTTGATGGTGTTGTACAAGGCCGTGCTGCATCTGTTGCGCCTGGGCAGCCTGCTGAGCCGCCTGCTGAGCTTGTTGCGCGATCTGGTATAGGGGCGTAACGAATTATTAGAACAGTTGTGTGCTTGACCATCATATACATAGTTGCAATCAAAACGTGGATATGAGAGGTCGAACCTGTGGTTATCTAGTAATGAATATGGCTGTCGATGACGAAGACAAAATATGGTCAAATCGGTTATATGGTACGTCGCGAGGACAGCACGCAGATCCGATTATCACACAAGATAGCTCTGTGGTATTGTTTCTTGGACATACCTGCTGCTGCTGCTGCTGCTGCTGCTGTTGCTGGCGCACTTGTTCGGCTTGTTCAGCCTGCTGCTGGGCCGCCTGTGCCTGCTGATGCTGGTGTTGCTGGTGTTGCTGCTGCTGTTGTACCTGTGCCTGGGCTTGTTGATGAACCTGAGCCTGTGTCTGTGCATGCACCTGTGTCTGTGCTGCTTGTTGCTGGTGTACATGTGCGTGTGTTTGTTGCTGTACGTGGTGCTGTTGTTGTTGTAGCACGTGAGCCTGGGCCTGAGCCTGGGCCTGAGCCTGGGCCTGAGCTTGGGCCTGATCTTGCGCAACCTGTTGTTGAGTGGTGGCGACCGAAGGCAAATGTTCAACCGGCGGTGCGGCTGCCAGTACGGATATTTGTGAGTGTGCATCTGGAGAAGTTCCCTGTGTTATACTCAGCATATTACTACTAGGCATTGGTCCATTCTGAATAGGCCCCAGCAATAGCGAGGCAGTGGGCGGGGGAGGCGGAGTCTTGAGCATGTAGTCCAGGTCGTTCATAAGCATCTGCACGCTTTCCAGTCCCACAGATATCCTCAGTAAACCTGGAGGCGTATTCGAGTTCGGGGGTTCGACGCTTCGGCGGTGTTCTATCAGCGATTCAGTGGAACCGAGTGATGTTGCGCGCCGGAATAGTTGGGCTCTGGCTACCGCCTTTAATCCAGGCATGCGCGTGACAATGGTGATATTAGTGTACGTCTGGTGCAGATGGTCGTAACAATATACTGATATATATTTCTTCATGAGAGAAGAATATAAATATACACGTATGTCATTACCAGAAGGGCGTATGTCCACAAAGTATACATAATTAGCGGATACGCGAACCTCGGATAAGATCAACTGTAAGCACAGCCCCACAGCTGGTAACAATTAATACGACCACAAACATTCACATCTGGTAAACAAATAAAGCAAATCGCAACCGGTTACATACATCAGACGAAAGAAAACCACATTAAAACGTTCACAATACAAAAAAAAATCAACCACACAACTCACCGCCTTCGCTCCTGCCGCACCGCCCTTTACGACGATGGACAACATTCCACCGTACATGCCTCCAGTTTGCCTGCCAGCCAGGGCGTGTTGTGGGTGCGTTGGTAGACCTGTTGGTGGACGATCCAGTGATCATATTAAAAAATAGGCCCAGTTGAATTTGGGTCATTCCCGTTACCTATAAATTCCTATCGCGCCCGACAAAACCCTGTCAGGACGAAACGGTACCATTCGCACCGAACTTACCCGGATAATGTACCACTTCAATATTCTCATTGTTGCTCAAATGTTGGGCGATGATCATGGCCGACCTACGAATCGAGAAATATGATGGTTGTAAAATTTAGAAACCCCATGAGAGTCTAAGGGTGCGGCGCCCCCAGAGAGCGCGGATGTCCATAGCAGTCATAAGAAAAACAAAGGCAATACACTGCTACATCTAAGACTCTGGGGAACCCCAAATAAAGCCCGTATTGGGCTGACGAAAGATTCCATTGTCACGCACGCAGAAATACCGATTCAGATAAAAATCGTACATTTAATCCAATACTTGTGAACCCAGCTCATACCCATACATGGACGCAACGCCTACATCATAGAAAGGCTCTTACGCTAAGGCATCACTAATTCGGCACGCAAAGCAAAAACGAACGCCAAACCGACGGAACTTGCATTCAGACACTCTCCTCATGCTCACACAACCTCAAGGACACGCTCCACAATAACAATTGCGGAGTCATTCTGGCCTACATACCGACAGTGTCCCTCCATTCTCAGATTCAGAGTACGTAGACCTCGAACAGCCAGGTACGCATGCCAGGGGTCCATGTTTCCACCTGTATTCGTTGCCACCACCTTTATTTGTTCGAACATGTGCGTGTTGAACGGCGCACAGATGACCGCGCCGCCCAAAACGTCCCCATGGCCTCCCATGTACTTGGTCACTGAGTGCACTACAACATCGACGCCATAGGCCTGTACGTGTACAGAGAAGGTATGGGAAATGCAAAGCCGTATCAGACTAATCTGCAATAGACTTGTCCGATACTCACGCCTATGCTTCGAACGGGTTGTGTTCCGAACTGTCAAAAAAGTATGCGTAAAGTGAACAACTGGTCAATGTTGGCAGAACATACTTTCCTAGGGAGTAAACTGGGGCAAACGCTTCTCATTGGAAAGACACTTAAAGCACAGTGCAGCTACGTACCACAGTGAGAGGCCGACAGAGAATAGGCGTTTGCCACGTGTTATCCACTAGAGAGATTACTTCTGCTTCACGGCAAGTGCTTGCGATCAGAGCGATGTCAACCACTTTCAAGGTTGGGTTGGATGGCGTTTCCATGATAAGCATTCGAACACGGGCTTTATGAACCTCCAGCGCGCTGTATTCGAATGCACGGGTGCAGCGACGGATGGGAATGACAATATGGATTATGTGGGGAAACCATTAGATTTGAGCCAAGTAGGAAACTGAACGGTTGCTTTAGTGGGGTTAAAAGTCTTCATAGTGCCCGCTTTCATTCCCCATAGATGTGACAGTCAATGGTAGGCGACCTTTCAACTGCACGGCATGCCTATATTGATTACTCGCATACAATCTGCCGTGGACATTCAAAAACACATCTGTTCGTCGACCCTACTTGACAATGCGACAATGCGACACTTGACAATACCACACAGGCGATGAAGATGTATCAGCTATACTGACTTAATTGTGCATAACTCACGACTGCAAATATGAATGTATAATCCGGAACTCACCGTCTCACAGAATCTATTTGTGTTTGATCGACTTCGACTATTCTCAATCCCCAGCGTTCCAGCACAGCCGTACACAGCGTGCTACAGCAGGAAAAGGCAATGTAAGTGCAATGGCATGCGCGATGTGGTGTCAGTAACCTTCCGATAATTTAGATTTTAAAACGAGCGAGAAGCGCGAGACACAATATATAAAACACTGGTGTCCTTAGAAAGAAGTAAGCATCGGCCATGACAAGGCAACTAGGGTTTTGATAAGAGCTGGCCCTGATGAGCACACAGAAAAGTAAAGAACGTTGCATACTTGAATGGACAGCCGTAAAAAGTAGATATATACAAATATTTCGCTCGAATACCTTGACTAATTCACAACCCAAGTATTCATTAAACATTTGTGCATTCGACCAGCAGCCACACACTTACCGAGTACCGTGGTATAAATCATCAGGCAAGATGATGACATCTCCAGGTGTGCAAAGTGCCATGATGGTCGCTGTCATGGCCGCATTACCGGAGGCGAATGCGAGAGCCCCACACCCACCCTCCAAGTCCCGAAGTAAATCCTCGAGGACAGTACGTGTAGGGTTCGAAGCCCTAGAGTACAGGTATCTGCAAGGGATGTGGATGGAGTTCTAATCAGACACTTATAACATACTGGGGTACAGGGGATGCCACACGGCTTGGCTGACCTATGGTATATATAGCTTACAAACACTGAAGTCAACCGTTGTCACTCGTGAGTGCAGCGGTGATAGTTGAACTGAAAATTGTATCATACATGTGAAAACGTACGGCTAGGTGGTTCCCTTGCAGAGTGGTGCTCGTCGGGCAATTGCATCTAACAGTGACAGTGAATGAAGTTCACATGTCAGCAATTTGAGGACACCTTTTTCCGGTAAATACACATACCACGCACGATATTTTCACGTTTGCCGTATACAAACAACATGTGCTCTATACAAGAACAATATATACGAAACAGTGAGGTTGTACAAGAACAATCTTTGGTCACTTGACATACCCAGGCCCGTCTTCATAGTGGCCGGATAACGGTTTCTCGAATGTGGTCGAGAGGTAGATAGGCAACGCCAGTGCACCTTTACCACCTTCATCAATGTTGTCGGCGTGCGTACCAGCCTGAGCACACACAGTCTGCATCAGTGCCGGCGTGTCGCAACTATCGCCAGGCTCCTAGAGATTGTAAACATGCCGTAAAGATAAGTATGGATGATATTCTAGGCATCACTACGTGCGTATAGGTGTGGGTACGGAAAAGGGACCATTTTTTTTGCAGATACAAATTGAATATCCTAGTTTGCGTAAGTACCAGTGTCGGAATGAGATTTGATCCGCACGAGATGCTAGCAAAACAGCATAGCTGCTGAGGAATTAAAATATCGCTTTCAGCATTTCTATCGACATCTGTGATTTTATTTTTTAATGTCTAGTTTCGAGCCTGAGAACGATTAAAGAAAATCTATTGCTACTAAGCTGTCGGCCGATTGCGCTTCAGTACCTTGCCGGAAGAATGCGCATTGCTATGACATGAAATTATAGGTATATATATATATATATATGCATATACATATATTTACACACACATATACATATATGCATATATACACGTGCACCCCCCCCCCCACACACGCACACACACACACACATATATTTATATAAATATATGCACAGTCACAGCCACAGACAAGTCTATATATATATATATATATATATATATATATATATATATATACGTGTACACAGACACAGACACAGACACAGACACACAACATACACACACACATATATATATATGTGTGTTATAGTCGACGTTATTCTGCCACTAACACACATGACAAACATATTGAAGCACCTTGAATTGGGACGCCTTTTTCGGACCCTTGTGCCGTTTATATGCACCCGTTTGCCCTGCGCCACGCTTCTTGGACACTCCTGAATCACTTTTATCCCCTCCATTCTTCGACCCACTAGCCGCTTGTGCATCTTTCTCCGCATCATACGACAGCTCATAGTACAGGCGCACACGCTCAGGCTGTCCACTGCATTGTATCACACACTTCTTGCCAAAGTGTTCCCTCCAGTATGAAGGTTTAGACCACCTACCCTCTTTCTGGCAGTATATACATCGCACCTTCCCATCACCCAGAAAGGTAAGGTGTTGGCGCACAGGGTCTTGTTTGCGACCCCCCACCATTCTTTGGTGCTGTATATGTGCCTACACAAGCTTCTAAGAGGACTAGATACTATTCTATTTTAAATAGACTACGGATAGGACGAGGAACGAGGAACCTAATACGAGTTAATAAAGAGGAACACTAACAAAGGAACTTAGGAACATACGCCGGATTGCTCTCTCTTAGCGACCTGCCGCTCTTTGAGCTCTTTGACGTGATATGATATCAGAATACGCGGGAACACTTTACTAATGTAAAACGTAAAATGGAGAGGTGCACTGTGGGAATACCGTACTATCGAGTCATTACGCTATTGCCGAAACCGTCGCTGTTTCCTTATGCGCAATATTTTTCATAGGGACGTTGGGAAGTTCCGCACCGTTTGATATACGTAGTGTGTCGAAATTGGTTTCGGTATCGTAAATGTGTACACATCAGAATCGATCCGTAAGAATAAAATATAAAATATCGTATCATACGTAGTGTCGCAAATCGGCAAAACTGTTAATACTTTTAGTGATGAGTAAAGCTTTACTTTTCTGGAAAACCCAACAAACTCTACGATAGTTGTTATGGATGGACTTTTTTTTGCATTTATAAATTTATAGTTATAAACTCTGTACAGTATAGAAGTAAATATTTTTAGATGCATATTTACATACATATTTACATACATTCTATAAAATATATACATACATACATATGCGCTGTAAATGAACCATCGGTCCATACCTATTCTATTAAGGCGTGATGGATACAGAGTGGCGGTAGTAGTACAGACATATGGAGTCTACTCAAATGATACACAGTCCTCGGGATCATACTGTGGCCTCGGGTGGCTGCATGATCCGCGTTGTTCGATTTGCTAAGTCAGCACGAAGGAGAATTACATACTGGAGAGGTCCAAAAAAGGGTATAGATCTTGGCACTTGGGGTACCGCTTTTGCGGTCTTACTAGTTAGCTATATAATATTAGCGATCATATTGAAGCTATTCAATCCCCCTCTGCTTCTTAATACAGAGGATATCTGCCACTATGAAACCTGGCTGACTGAGTATAAGCAGATACAATCCAGGGTGGTGGAAGCGATGAAGAGCGATTGTGCCGGTTACTGGGAAACTTTGCGCAGGTGAGCTTGAGTCAAAGACTGCTGTATGTATCACAAGCGTAGCGTACACGCGTATGAGTAATATATAAGCTATGCGTTACTTTGTATGCACCCACTTAGTGTGATGCTAACTAGATAGATAAATCCATAAGTCTATGTACTTAAAATGTTGATGTATACTCGCCCAAGTCGTATAAATACATACATACATACACACATACACACACACACACACGCACACACACACACACACACACACACAACACACAACACACACACACACACACACACACACACACACACACACACACACGACA